CTTTCGGAGGAGGAGCAGGCTGAGACATCACAGCCTTTAGGTGCGTATATGATATAGTATTCTTATGTTCGTTGATGTCATTGGTCGTGTGAGGCCATTGGTGTTATTGATGATTTTGGCCCCGTGTCTCTTTATATTATTGGGTTTTCTACATGATAGGTTGGTAGTAGTATCATTATAGAGGACACTCTGCCAAAATTTCTATAGATCTCTGGGAGTTTAACATTCGAGGACGAATGTTTCTAAGGGGGGAAGATTGTTACATCTTGTGCGTACGAAGGTGACGTTAATGAATATGAAACTTGTTAATCATGATTTAAATGAGTCTAAAGTAATAATATGACTATATATAATGTTTGGATATAAAATATAAAGTTTGTGAAAAATTGGATTTAAGTTGCGGAAAACATGACTAAGGATTTGCCTTGTAACGAAGATTTTTGAGAAATACATTTTGTATGTTATATGAGGTCTTCTTGGGAAATATTATACACCAAATTGAAGGTCTTGGAATTTAGTTTCCAATACTCTTAACCATTCATTCATATGATATCTGGATAAAAAGATATAAGCATCTGAAAAAGGACCAATGCTAAGGTGCCAAGCTAGCACTTCTTTGACTTTTCAAAAGTGGATATATATATCCCTTATGTCGTCTTTTTCTTCATTTATCCAGAGACCACGAACAAACAAGACCAATAAACTTATCCTTAAGCTTCCTACAAGGTTTTCAAAAAGAATTAACATCTCGGGTACGAAATCAAGAAGCGATAGCATTAGAACGATTCCTACGACGTAAGTATCGTTATACCACCTCTCTATTAAAGCCGGGTGCGATATGATGATGATGATTCCCACAGAGGCATATGTTTTTAAAAAGTATATGTATATATGTATATGCATCATGCATTTCATGCCATTCACTCTCAGAGGTACTCAGATGTTAAAGGTTGTATATTCTCTATCCCTGTTTACATTACTGCTCGTATTTATGCTTTCCTACCTTACATACTCAGTACTTTATTTGTACTGATGTCCTTTTTATTTGTGGATGATGCATGTCATGCTGTAGGTCCTGATAGGCAGGTAGACGAAGCTCCCTTACCATAGTAGACTGCCCAATTCAGCGGTTATTGGCGAGATCCCTTCTCTGGACTTGTCGTGGTCTTGGTATGCATTTTTGTTATAGACATTATGGGTGTGTCGGGGCCTTGTTCCGGAAATGTTGTAGAACTTATGTTCCTTTAGAGACTCATAGACATATGTCAACTCATTTATAGTTTGGATAGCCTTGTCGGCTATTTTTTGTTGTATAGTCTCTCATGGCAGCTTCTCAGCTCGTACATTATATATAGCTTTATGACAGCCTTGTCAGCCCATGTTATACATGTTCATGCCATTATCTATTATTGTTGGTCGTTTAGGATTCATGTCGACCATTTATGTTGATCTTGTTGGCCCTTGTGGATAATAAGAAATGTTAGATAAAATATACGTTGGTGCTCGGCAGGTATAGCCCAAGTTCAAGTCATGGCCCTCCGGTTTGGGTCGTGACAAACTTGGTATTAGAGCAAGTTAGTCCTAGGGGGTGTCTATGAGCCGTGTCTAGTAGAGTTTTGATTATAAATGTGTAGCACGCCACATTTATAATCAAGAGGCCACGTGACATCTAGGGTTATTACCTTCCTTCTTAATCTAGATCTTGCATAGAGTTGAGTCATCAGTGTTCATCTCTAATATTCACGTTGTTTTCTTTCAGCGATGCCTTCGACTAGGAGGAAAGCGATTAGTAGACGACTTGATACAGCTGTGGGAAAGGGTACCAGTCAGGTGCCTCCAGCCAGAACAGGCCAAAGTAAGGCTTAGAGTGAGATACCGTCTCATACATCATCTGTACTGTGTCCTCTAAAGGATATTAGGAGGGACCCAGTACCTCCTGTTCCTCCATCTAGCACTACAGACCAGGATATGCGCAGTGCGGTGCAGTTGTTGACTAGATTGTAAGCTGCCCAGGCTCAGAGGTAGAATACCGGTGCTGCTAACAGACCGGTTAGTGCGAGAGTTCATGATTTTATTAATATAGACCCTCCAGTGTTTACCGGATCAGAACCGAAGGAGGACCCGCATACTTTTATTAATTAGGTTTATCGGATACTGCGGGTTATGCATGCCAGTGATACTAAGGCAGTAGAGTTGGCTTCTTATCGGTTATGGGAGTTAGCATTTTTCTGGTATGACAGTTGGGAGAGATCTAGGGTTTCGAACGCTCCTCTAGCTATGTGGAAGGAATTTTTTGAGGCCTTCCTTCGTCACTACTTGCCAGTTGAGATACGACGAGCTAGAGTTGATAAGTTCTTGAACCTTCAACAAGGTAATATGAGTGTACGAGAGTATAGTATGCAGTTTGATTCTTTAGCAAGGTATGCTCCCCATATAGTGGTCGAGATGAGCCATAGGGTGCAGGTGTTTGTGAACGGGTTGGGACCACATCTCATAAATGAGTGTCCGGTAACCTCCTTGGTGGAGGGCATGGATATTTCCCATATTCTGGCTTATGCCTAGACACTAGAGGATTGTAAGCGCTAGCAAAGGGAAGATAGGGAGTAGGATAGGGTCCAGTATAAGGGGGGGTTAGATTCACAGGGTATTCCAGTGACTTTAGATATAGTTTCATGCCCCAATCTTCGTGGAGTACGGCGCCACCTATAGCTAGTGCTCCTCCATAGTTTCAGAGGCCTCGGTGTGATTGATCTATCTATTCTGGTCTAGGTCAGAGTTCTCAGGCATCAGGCCCACAATATCATGGGGATACTAGTCAGACGAGACCCCCAACACCCCATTGTGATCAGTGAGGCAAGTTCCAGTTTGGACTTGTCCATCAAGGTTCTGATGCGTGCTATTCTTGCAGATAGCCTAGCCATATAATATGAGATTGTCCTAACAGAGGGGGTGATGGTATGGCTCAGCCGACTAGATCTGAGTCTGGTTCTTCCTCATCAATTCGACCACCATTACGGGGTTCAGCAGTTGAAAGGTCGTGGTAGAGGTAGAGGTGCAGTGCCGAGTTCGAGCGGTAATCAAACCTATGCTCTAGCATGTCGACAGGATCTCGAGTCATCTCTGAATATTGTTACAAGTATATTGTCTGTGTTTTCTTATGATGTATATGCACTGATTGATCCGGGATCTACATTATCATATGTTACACTTGTGGTATCCACTCCGAATTGATAAGTAAACCACTTGTGGTATCCACTCCGATAGGAGATTCTGTGATTGCTAGAAGGGCATATATTGGTTGCACAATGATGATTTGTAGTCGTCAAACCTCGGCAAATCTATTTGAGTTAGAAATGGTTGATTTCGATGTGATAATGGGAATGGTCTGGTTGGCATCATGTTATGCAAACGTTGATTATGGTTAGGTTTCAGTTTCCCGGTGAACCCGTCATTGAATGAAAGGGGAATATTTCTACGCAAAAAGGTAGGTTTATTTCCTATATTAAGGCAAGGAAGATGATCTCAAAAGGTTACATTTATCATCTCATTCGCGTTAGAGATGCGGAGGCAAAGCCACCTACTCTACAATCAATTCCCGAGGTCAATGAATTTCCAGATGTTTTTCGAGATGAACTCCAATGCCTTCCTCCAAAAAAGGAGATTGAGTTTAGCATTAATGTGTTGCCTGACACTCAGCCGATCTCTATCCCACCATACAGGATGGCCCCAGTAGAGTTGCGACAGTTGAAGGCGTAGTTGAAGGACTTGCTGGATAAGGGCTTCATTAGGCCTAGCACTTCACCTTGGGGTGAGCCAGTCTTGTTTGTGCGGGAGAAAGATGGGTCGTTAAGGATGTGTATCAACTATCGACAGTTGAATAAGGTTACTATAAAGAACAAATATCCATTTTCGAGGATTGATAACCTATTTGACCAACTCCAGGGTGCCAAGTATTTATCCTAGATTGACTTACGTTTAGGGTATCATCATGTGAGGGTTAAGGAGAAGGATATTCTGAAGACGGCTTTCTGAATAAGATATGGGCACTTTGAGTTCTTGGTGATATCGTTCGGGCTAACAAATGCCCCAACAACTTTTATGGATCTCATGAATAGTATATTCAGACCCTATCTTGACGTGTTCGTGATCGAATTCATTGATGATATTCTAGTGTATTCTTGTTCGGAGGCGGAACATGTGGGCCACTTGCGGCTGGTATTACAGACCCTTCGGGATCGTAAGTTATATGCTAAGCTCTCAAAATGTGAATTCTGGCTGAACTCAGTAGCATTCCTTGGCCATGTGGTATATTACGAAGGTATTAGTGTCGACACTCAGATGATCGATATAGTGAAGAATTGGCCGATACCTACAATACCATCAGAAGTCTGTAGATTCCTGGGGATAGTAGGATATTTTAGGCGGTTTGTAGAAGGGTTTTCAGCAATATGAGCACCATTGACTACGTTAACACGGAAAGCTACCAAGTTCCAGTTGTCTGACGCTTGTGAACATAGTTTTAAGGAGCTGAAGAATCGATTGGCATCATAGCCAGTTCTCATTCTTCCAAAAGGATTAGAAGGTTATATGGTCTATTCTGATGCCTCGGGTATAGTTTTGGGGTGCGTATTGATACAACATGGGAAGGTCACTTCTTAGGCATCGAGACAATTGAAGAAACATGAAAAGAATTACCCAGCTCATGACTTGGAATTGGCTGCAGGAATATATGATTTGAAGATATGGCGGCACTACTTATATGGCATTCATGTTGACATCTACATAGATCACAAGAGTTTATAATACATCTTCAAGTAAGAATATAAATAATATTATTTGTTTATATTGTTACTTTATTTGTTAGTATATTTTATTATTTGCTTATATCATACGTCAATAAAGTTAACTCTGCCTGTTAATTCCGCCTTCCATCATCGCCGATTTTCGGTGAAACACATAGTGAAATTGAAGATCTCTGATTTTGTACTTTACTAGGGAAAATGCTATCTCTTTATCTCTCTAACGGGCAAAGCCCTAATCTAACCCCACTAGTGCCTCACCTCCTTTGCCGTCGCCGTCCTTGTCGCTGTCGAGTCGTCCTCGCCGTCGTTGTCCCTGTTGCTGTCGAGTCACCGGCGTACACATGTAAGTCCCCTTGCTCCTTCTCTTTCTTTCTTTACTCCTTCCTTCTTCTTTCCTTTTCTTCCTTTTTTCTTTCTCTCTCTACCCATCTCCTCTCTCTCCCCCCCCC